AGCACCCAGGCACGCAGGAAGGCAGGCACGCCGCACTTAGGTACGGAAAGTGTAAGGTACCTTCCCGTCCCTTCCTCCTTCGGATACCCAAATTACTCCTCACTGCCGTAAGGCGCTAAGACTGGGGATCATCATCTCTATGCACTGTTTGGGTTCTTCAGAGACGCTGGCTTGTGGCGTCATGGAAGATGACTTCTTTTTCTATTTTGCCCATCTCCTTACTTCCTTTTAAACTCCCCAGCAGGCACAGTCTGTCTGCAACGAGGTTGAAAGATACGACGGCGTACCTATGCAGTACGTGATGTACAAAATAAGGTACTCCCGGCCAATGAGAACGAAGGTGACAACATGTTTGGCCTTCAAGTCATCGACGTTGGGCTTTGCTGTCCATACCTATCTGTCGGTACCTTATTGAGCCTGCACCTGCATGGAAGCACGTCCGCTCTCTCCCACCTTCCCAGCCCAATGAAGACGGTGAGTCCTCTGTCGCGTGTACCGAGTACGAATATCTGTCAGGCAATCTCCAAACGAGGGGGAGTTGTCCAAGTAGAACAGCCAGCACCTGGCAACAGAAGCCGTCTGCCAGGCAATGCCTTGCCGGGGGCACTTTCATTGGGCACCCCCCTCTTCTCCCAGCGGAGAACGGGACAAGTCTGTCTCGTCCTCACTGGACATGGAAAGGGAACCCGTGATGATGGGGATCCAATGCTATTTACAGTGGAATTACAATGCTCCTGCCAGGACGAGCGTGTGGATACCATACCTTGGCCCCCATTGGCGCTTCAGCCGAGGAATCAAGTTGACGTCTGTGCACAGTCCACTCAAAGGATGTTCGCGTAGCGGAGAAGGAGGAGGGGCTTCACAGCATTTTTGGACGCTTGGCCAAGCAGGAACGAGGTCAGGAGCAGACAATCTGACCCGGAACGCGAGACGTTGCCTTCCTGTCGAAACCTTACCCCCAAAGTTTCTTACCTAAGATACCAAGGCACCTTCTAACAAAACCTTGATTTTTAAGCCCGATGATGACAGTCAATCAATTCCTCTGTGAGAAAATGCCACAAAATACAATTAACCCAGGATGCCTCTGAGAAAGCTGTGGAAAATGTCGAAGAAAAGAAAAACGAAGAAAAACGAAGAAAAAAAAAGGCATCCGATCACCTGCAACATCACGTGGATCTGGCTGATCTTCGGCCATCTCCCTCCTTGGGATGATCTCGAAACGGGGCTCCACCAAAATTTGTATATACGAGTTTACTTTAGATAAACGCCGATGCAAGCTTCGGGAAAGATTGATCTAAAGTAACATTGCCGTCGTATGTAATCTGCTGATCCCAACGGGCCTGCTCCACCCATCTAACGACTCATCGTGAGCCTCAGGACGGGACCAGGGACCTCATTCGGTCTCGGAACTTGTTCACCAGCTTCTTCTCACAAGCGTGCTGGTCCTTTTTAACCCCTTTTACTTACTCAACCTCCATCAGATCGCTCCCGAGTGCTTCATCAGTCTCCTATGCACATCTTGCGCAACCCGAAAAATATGTATGCGTCTTCAGCCACGTCCTCGTCTCTCATTTTGCCTTGTGTAGTCTTCAGACTCGGCGACATTTTTGTGATTCCTACCCGACCACCTGTAGCTACAAACGTGCTTGGTCCAGACTGTGGTCTTGCTTACCCGTTACTGTGTGTCGTCCGATAGTTCAACCGATGCCGTGGTCCGAACAGCTACCAGCAGGCTACAGCGACCCATCAACTGTGCAATCGTCTGGTTTTCGGCCCTTGCGTAAGTAGGATGGCTCGAGTGACATCGTGGTCTGTGTAGATGACAGTGTAAGATTGAGATTCCCAGCGGTACATAGGGGCATGGTTTGAGCGGACACGGTGATGCAGCTAGGCATCACTATTGCTTGACTTCGATCGCTGGATGTGCCATCTGGGCGTCCTTAACACCATGTATATAGGCCAGCCTTCTTCCAGAAAGGTTCTGCTTCGTCCGCTCGTTAATCTAGTGTTCCATTCAGACTCGTTCCACAAGATACGACAACAGAAGTCTATGTATTGAGTATCGTGATGTATTTCATGAGGCGCATCATCTTTCCCCTTCTGGTAGGTTCCAGGGTGGCGCTTTTGCCACAGTCACACCAGACTCTACATTGCATAGTATGAGCTTGAACAGCCTCATTATTGCCTAGTTTGGCATTTCCTTATTGAAAGACCTGACGGTTTGTTGTCAGACGTGTTGAAGCATTAGTGTACTGTCGTGAGAGGCACGCTGCCATTGAGGTGAGACCTTCGCAAGTGCCTTCTATGGTCATCATGTTTGGGAGGCTCTTTGTTCAGGGGTCAACTTTAGCCAGTTTCTGTTTCATTGACATGACGAATTGATTTGATTCGTATTGCTGCAACTGAATTCTCAGGATGAATAGGTTCAGAAAGATAAGGGATTTCAGATTGGAATGTCCTATGGGCCAAGCAAGATTTCAAGATGAAATGAGAACTAAACTTAACCCGTCTTACTACCCTCTACCCTCGTAATGAATTGACTCTATCATACAACACGAATAACTCAATGAAGCCAGTAATTCGGAGTGAGCTTGGCACATTTGGTTCAGCAAGAGACATCTCAAGCCCAGGGCAAAAGGCTCCAGCTAGTCTTAACCCGATGTCTTCTAAAGCATCCAGCAGACATGAGAGAGGCCCTTATCCACCCATGAAGTTTGCAGGTATCGCGTTCACCATGCAGCGAACTCAATGTGGCACAGTCCCGTAAACACGATGTCCTCCCCTTTGAGATACAGAGCACTTGTTAAGAGATACAGAGAGTGAAGACAGACGCAGGAGAGCCAATTTGACTGTGTTCCATTTCGATAGTACACCAATTCGAGTTCAACATCGACCCTTTTCGACCAATCGACTATATGTGGGCTAATTGATGTGTTGATCACTCGCCCAAGAAGACATGATGGCAACCGGTTGTCCTACGTTGGAGCTACAACCGCATACACGTCCGACTTTACCCCTTCCTGAGTAGCAAGCCCATCGACACAACGAGCTCACGTCATCTCCAAGGCATTCAGGTAAAAATTACTCCCATCTCACAGTTACGAGAGCTCTGATTCCCCGTCAACCTGATGACTTTCGTAACCCATCATCGCCAAGTGGAGTACACCGATAAGGATCCCCCCCAGATCAACCCATTTCATACGCCACTCCTATCTCCGCCACCACCCCGTTACAAGTCTCCATCATACTCAAAAAACACACTCAGCAAAACAACTCTAGCGTCTTCTCGTACTAAGGCAGACACCGCTCTACTTTTCTGGACAATAGTTGTCTCATCCTGATAACCCCCAACTCGAATGTGAGGCTCTTTCCCTTCCAACACCGAACAATCCCGTAGTAACCCCGCCCCCACTTCGTTCGCCTCTATCAATCCAACTCTCAACTCACAACCTTGTCACTCAGTTTCCCAACGAACAGCGATATGAACGACGCAGAAGGTCTCGCCATCGCAATCGAGGAGGCCAAGGCCGGCGCCTCAGAGGGCGGCGTCCCGGTACGTTAAGCTCATTACCATCCAGGGAAATGGATACAAACCCCTAACCCGACCCCAGATCGGAGCCGCCCTCGTCTCCGCAGACGGCAAGCTCCTCGGTCGTGGCCACAACCGCCGCGTCCAGATGGGTTCGGCCATTCACCATGTAAGTCTAAAACCCAGCCCCCCTTGACACTGGATGACAGTCCATACACGCCCCTCCCTCTTCATCCAAACCACACAATCACATCAAATAACTCACACAGCTTTCAATACTAGGGCGAGACCGACGCCCTCTTCAACTCGGGACGCCTGCCCGGAAAGGCATACAAAGGCAGCACAATGTACACCACTCTTTCCCCCTGCGACATGTGTAAGTTCCCATACCTCCCTTCTAAACGCTGAACTAGCCTCTCAACCCTCACCCTCCGCCAGGCACCGGAGCCTGTCTGCTCTACGGCATCTCTCGCGTCGTCATCGGCGAGAACAAGACGTTCCTCGGCGGCGAGGAGTACCTCAAGCAGCGCGGCGTGGAAGTCGTCGTTGTCGATAACGCAGAGTGCAAGGCTCTCATGTACAAGTTTATTGCTGAAAAGCCTGAAGTCTGGTAAGAAAAACGTCCCCAGCCAACGGACAACACACGTTGCGGCTAGATCGCCTCGAGAGAAATACTGATCAAGCTAGGAACGAGGATATTGGGGAAGAATGAATTGGATAGTCAAAGGTGGACGACTTATGGATAGTGAGCTTTCGACAACTTAACGCACATCATGTTGGCTCCAAGAGCCTTGAGCTACAGCTTTACTTGAGAACTTCTTTTATTCAACACTAGGACACCTAGCAACTGCCCTTGGCACGAGCAAGCCATCCCATTCCACCAGCCTCCTCCGTGCGGCCAGTTGCTATCACAAGACAATGTGTCTGTACTTTGGCACAAGTTTCTTTTTCGCGCTTGAACGAAATGCATAATCTACACTAGCGGGGCAGAATTTTCCGCTCTCCGGCTCAAGACTTCAACCATTCCTTATACCTCATACCATCTTCCAAAACTCCCTAAAGTCGCAAAATGAAAGGAACATGTCGTAGTCTCAAGAGAGCAAGTTGCGTAGAGAAGGACTAGTGCTCGCTCCTGCAGGTCGAGGCGGCTCGTTAGAAGGGCGCATGCCAGGTGTCCTCAGCGGACCTCCGGCATCATGAGCAGGAGGGCTGCCGTATGGTGAACGCTGCGGTAGAAGTCCCTGAGCGAACGCATCGGGGCCCCTAGGTTGAGGCCCGCCATTTGGTAAGCCGTGAGGTGATCCGTGAGGGGGTTGCCGATAAGGATGCACATAGGGCGGTGCGTGTGGACCATGGGATCCATGAGACATGGGCCCCGCCATCAGCGGCGAAGGCGGCATTCCGTGATGCGCAGGTTGGCCCATATGTCCATTGGGACCTGATGGTGGTGTAGGGGCCATCGACATTGGAATCATTGGCGGAGGACGTAGGTTGGCCAACGGCTGGAAAATAGGACGCTGTGGTGGTGATCCATGACGCGGAGGAGGGCGACTGTTCCACTCGTATCTTGGTGCCGGCGGAGGGCCATAGGGGCCCGGAGCTTGGTGAGGAGCTGGAGGCGGGTTTGGCGGTGGTGGTGCAGCAGCAGCCTGAACTGGCGGTGGCACAGGCACAGGCGCCGGATGCGGAGCCGCAGGCTGTGAGGCAGGCGGCGGTGGAGGAGGTGCCGGAGCAACCCAGGCATACGAAGAGAGGCTTCGAGCTCTGGCCTCTGCGCCGGTCGTTGGTGGGCTCCTCAAGGGTGGAGGAGGGGCCACGAGAGCGTGGTGCGGAGGAACAACCGGTAAAGGTGGAGGTGGCACCAATCTCGCAGCAGCCTCGATGACTGGAGATGGTTCTTTGGGTACATGGGGAACCGGCTTCTTCTTCAATTTGCGGCACTTGTGACATTGGAACTTTCTCTGCTCGACAAATTTCTGAGCCTCGGAGCCAAGGCTTCCATAGTGACCATTGGTAAGTTCCCGCTCATCAGAGTTCTCAATAGGCCACCACTTGAGAGCGACGTCGATGCCACAGGTGATGCATATTTTCTCTCCTGCTTGGTGGGTGCTCGTGGTTTCGCTGTTCGCACTCTGAGAAACTACGTTAGAAGGTGCCGTAGTGGTTGATGCTCGCCGAGTGCTGGGCGTCACAGGAATACCTCCCATCTTCGCAGCATTCGTCATCAGGTTGGCCTTTCTGACTGTGCCAGTCAAGGTGAGATCTGCCTGTTTGTAGCTCTGCACATAGAACTGTAGAGCAGTGAGACCATCCTCGTCAACAATGTCGTGCATCTGATGGATAACGCTCTTTGTTGGAACGTGCTCCTTGCACCATACCGTGGCTGACATGACACCAGTTTCGCCATTGATGGTGACGAGATTGAACTGGTCACGGCGAGACCCCTTTACAGGAGTGATGTCAAAGCCGAGGAGGTAACCCTTTTGGCGAGCGCATTCAACATGAACTGGTGATAGCGATTAGTAGGCATCCAAAGAGTTGAACGACCAGTACTTACGAGGATCTCGACAATAATGGCAGGTAATGCAAGCACCACCTTTGTGGTTGCAGGCCAAACAAACCTCATCGTACCTGGCACGAGGGATAGAAGGAATACCCTCAGATGGACTCAATGCCTTAGCATTGCCAAACTTGACCTCGGGTGTCCAAACAGCACAGGTGACATGAACCCAGTTGTTATCTGCGGTCCGTTTCAAAGGCTCCCTGGGGTTGACTGGGCGGTTGGTATCCTCCTGCTTCTTCTTGTAGTAGTCGGCAGCCTTTTGTGCCTGCTCTCGTTCCACTCTCTCGCGCTCCTTTTCCTTCTCTGATTTCTTCTTGGAAGTAGAGATTTTGGGCTGCTCAACGAAGTCATGCTCCGTATGTTCAATTGGGCACAAGACACACTTGTATTGCTGTCCAGAAGTCAGCATATGAGACGAAATTAGTCAAGGACGGTAAACAACTTACGATCGAGACCTGTGGGCTCTTGTCATTGGCGCACATGTCGCAGGTCCATTTGCCGGGGTGCCTGTTGTCGAAGACTCCATAACAGTTGCGGTGGACTGTCAGTCTGCATTCCTTACACGACAGATGCTGATCTCCCAAGGGCTCCAACTGGTTGCAAATTGCGCAAGGCATAGTCTTGGGCTTCGGGATTTCTGGAACCGGTGGGGGCGCTGGTTTCTCTTTCTCGACCGCCTTTTCCTTCTTCTTCGGTGGAGCGGCAGCAGGAGCTGAGTCTGAGGCGAGCGACTCCGAGTCTCTCTCTGGGGGTGCTCCTTTGAGCTTCTTCCGCGGAGGTTCGCTCGAAGGTGCCGCTGGAACTGCCACAACCGGCTCTGGAGCGATGACTGGCGGAGGGGTGTTCCAGTAAGTATGCATTTCCTTGGCTGCCTCAAGCTCCTTGAGCAGTTCCTCGTCCTGTCTTTTCTTCCAGGCTCGACCACCTGCTTGAGCGATCTTTTTGGCAACCTCGTCCATTTCTTCCCATTGAATACCATAACGCCGCCAGAGCTCTGCGCATCTGCGACAAAGTGCATTGATGTACTGGCCTTTGTCCTTGTTGGAATTCTTGCCCTCGCTGACTGGTGTTCCCGACGCATTCGGAGCCCGCCTCCATTGCCTGGAATACTTGGTATGGCAGAACTTGCACACGAAGCTCTTCTTTTTGCTTGCCGCCTTGTCGCAATCGAACGCAGAGTCGTCTGCATCGTCGGCGATATCATCTTGCAGCTTGCTTGCGGCAACCTCGGCCTTCTTGGCTTCCTTCTTGCTTTTTCTGTTCTGAAAATTCCCCCAAATCTGTTTGCCTTGCGGGGTCTTCTTCCAGTTGTAGTAATATCGTACGATCTCTCCGGGCGAAAGAGACTTGACATGTCGCTTGACGAGATAAAGCTCGGACCCGTACTTGCTGACACCTTCCTCGAACCTCTTCTGTTCCGTGGCCGTCAGGTCGGGTTCCTTGAAAGTCGCCTTGTTGACTTCCGACAGAGCCTTCAGTGCGTGATCTTCATCATATCCACTGCTGTAGTACGTTGCCAAAGCAATATCATGAAAGTTAGTCGAGTTTTTCGCCAGACCAAACTTGGCCGTCAACTCTTCTGCTTTTTTCATGTACCGGTCGAGCTTGGCTTCCCATCCAGTATTCTTCTCACCTGCTGGGGGAGGCACCCAAATGCGCGTAGCTGTGGCGTTCGGGTCGTCGGGGTCGTCGTCCTCTCCTCTCGCCACATAACCTGAAGGTTCATCTTGAACCCACTTGGGACGCTTCTCGCGTCGGATCTTCTCAGCCTCCAAGGCGGCAAGCGCTTCTTTTGAAAGCCCAGGTCCCTTCTTCCCCGTCCTCTTGAACTCCAGAGGCTTTTGATACTGTACAGGCTGGCCGGGCCAAGGAAGCACAGGCGCCTGATGTTTGGGGCCTATGCGAGTGCTTGCGCGGGGGTAGATTCGGTCATCGTAATCAAGGGCATCTTCGGGCCTGCAGTGCATCCCAAGGTAGCGCCAAGGCCACAGGCTGGCTTGGTAAATTTGCTCTGCAGTGCCGGTACGATGGGCGTCGTCGTCCTCGGCAGGACTCGTCCGTTCGGTGTCAATTTGCATCTCGTCTTCATCGTCGTCGTACAAGTCCTCATCATCCGCATCACCTGCATTCTCCTTGAGACTGTTCGGGTTAGGAGTGTGCCGAGCTTCTAATTTCCGTTCCTGCGCGCGACTACAAGCAGCGCAGGACCAAGCGAAGCCTCTGGAGGGTTTCTTGAGCAGGGGCGGCCTGACACAGTTCATGTGGTATGTCTTCTTACACACAGCACAATCAACCGAGTCATTGCTGTAATGTTGTCAGTGACCCCAACTCTCGATGAGACTGCTGCGTGGGTGGACTAACCTTGCACAGTAGCCGCTGCATCGCTTGCAGGACTTCACCGCACTAGTGAACTCTTTTCCGCGGCCCTGCTCCACAATAACGAATTTCCAGCGTTCGTCTAGCACTTTCTTCACCCTCTCAGGCACGTTCACGATTGTCGACGTAGGGATCAGATCGTAATTTTTCTGGATGTAGCGGTCGTACAATTTTTCGTACCAGAAATTGTCCGAGATTTTTCGGTATTCATCCATGTTGGGAATTTCCGCCTTGTGCAGGATGTGGCACTTACCACGCAAGGCCGTCAAAGGACTGATATCGGAATGCATCGTCGCAAACACCAGTCGGGTGTCATTAACCTTCTTGCCGATATCCTTAGGTCTGTAAAACCAATTGATGCGAAGTGCATCCACCGGCTTTTTGTTGTTATTCTGCATGTGGAGAAACTCCATGATGCGACCCAGGTAGTATGGCTCGCCCGGGGGCTCACACACGAGATAGACATTGTCTATAAATCTAGATCAGCGAATAATTCTCTCCAGGAAGAAGGAGGAAAAAAATTGGGACGGGCGCAAGGATGATGAGTGAGAGTACGTGAAGGTGCGTGTGTGGTTTGTTGCTGTCTTACCATTGGGTGCTAGCACGGTACCGTCATCCGCCACCAACTTGCCATCTCTGGGGACTGCACCGGAGTTCTCGAAACTGAGCATGTTCGTCTCTGCGTAAGAGCTAGCGTAAGGGCCCGACGCCGTTTTTCGTGATGCCACTGTGCTGGCGCCAGACGACGATGCCGTCGCAGAAGCATGAGCCTGAGAAGTCGCAGCTGCGGCGTGTGAAGCAGCCTTGCGCTTTTTTGAGGGTTGCGTCGAGTTTGTCGAAGCCAGTGTTTGCGTGGTCGGGGTGGCATTTGCTGGCTGCACGTCCTTTGCTCCGTTCTGAGGGACGGTCGACTTTGTGTCGTCAGATGGCAGGGCCTTGCGGGTTGAGCCGTTGGGTCGCGCGTTCTCTTGGATGGACGCGGCCGACACATTACTGTGACGCGCCGATTTCTTGGACTCTTGATCCTTCTTCTCTGGGGCGTAATCATACATGTCGACATCGAGATCCTTGTCCTCGGCGTAGTTTGGGCGCGATGAGCCAGTGCGGTTTCGTGACCGCGTCCCGTAAGGGTTCGCAGCTTCGAAAGCGGCAGCGTCCTTTGAAGACTGATCCAAACCCATGGCAGAAGACTTGATCGTGGGTTGAGCGTTGCGAAGGGCGGCGTCAAGCTCAGTCTGATGTGATTTCTGGGCGGCAGATGCTGCTTTGGATGTCGACGCGCCCGAAGTGGCAGGCTGCGTGGAATCCGAGGCGTCTTGTGCAGACGGTGTGGCGCTGGCAGATTGGTCGTCAGAACTGCTGGCAGTTTGGTTTTTCTGTGCCATGATGGCGGTGGCTAGCTGCGCGTTGGCGGGAGGTGAGATGAAATATGTCGGGGCCCTTCCCGCGGGTGACGAGATGCAAGAGGGCCGACAGGGTGAAGTTCGTCTGCAAGGCGGCGGAGGCTCCGATCCATAGGCTGAGCCAGATGGAACCCGACGTCTACTTATCCGGCGAGGCAGGCGGCCGTGAGCCAGACGCAACCCATGAGATGGAGATGGATATGTGTGGGTGACAGTGTCGAGTTGTGGAGGAACGATATATGTAAAAGGCTTGGAGCTCTATCGGCGAGAAAAGGAAGTCGCGGAGAGAAGGCGCGCGGAGGTAGTGACGCGGGTGAGTGTGGGATTCGGATTATGAATGTGGGAGAAGTAGAAATGTGCGTCTGGGTTTGAGAGTGGTGGGCAGTGGTGATGGGTGAGGTGAGGCGAAGTGAGGTGAGTGAGGTGTGTAGTGTAGATGAATGAGAATATGGGCGTGAGAGACGAGACGATGGAAAAGGAAAGGGCGAGTGAGAAGCTGGGACCCCAGTAGGTAAGAAACAGACGAGGAAGGTTCGAAGGTTCCGCGCGACCAGGGACAATGGAAGCAATGGAGCCAGCTGGGAAGCCAAAATCGAGCGTGTTTGTGAAGGTGGTCAAGATGGGCCAGGGAGGAAGTGATGTGGAAAGGAAGGAAGGAGACGGGAAGAAGAAGATGGGTCCAGGTCCAGACAAGCGGAAGGCAAAATGGTAAGAAACGTCGAAGAAGGTCGACCGACCCCGTACCTGCCTTTTGCTCTGAGGTGTGTAGGTGTACGGTGTACCTTTCATAGCAGCGCCGGCATGGCACCAAGTCCCGTCCAGGTCCAGGTCCATGTCCAGGACCAGCAACCACAGCAGAGGAAAGCAAAGCAAAGCAAAAGCACCAAGCACCGACGGGCCTGCACCTGATCCGTCTTTACCTCATCCACTTGTCTACCGATAGATTACCCTACCTGCCCTTCCTACCTTAACCTGGCTTTGCGACTTGCCTTGTCTTGCCTCACCCATAAAGCTGGGCTACCGCTACGGAGACTGCTACGATGGATGGCTCCCACTGCCGCACCGCAATGAAGTCGGGTGGGTATGTAACTCTCCCCAGCTAATCTATGGCAAGGTACTCTCACACACACGGGGCAAGGGCCCAGGGACTTTGATGGGACATGTAGGATTAATATGGGAGAATGGGGGGGAGGGAGAGAGAGAGAGAGGGAAAGTGTGTGTGTGCGCTCCATATGGGAATCTGGAAATGTACGGATACGTACCTGCGTACCGACAGACCAATGCAAAGGTAAGCTAAAGTAATGCCTCTCCAGTCCCGTCTGGGCCAGCAGGGCGGCAGCGGGAGCAGGAAAGAAGCAACAGCAGCAACAGTAGCAGGAGCGAGAGAAAGCAGCAGCAGCAGGGCCCCCTCGCTCTTTTTTTTTTTTTTCTCTCTTGCGAATGGATGGGGCTGCGTGGGAGGCGAGAGGTATCGATCTGCTGCAGGTCGGGGAATGCTACTCGCGGCTACACACGAAGTGTGCCTGGTCAGTTGGTATCGATACGTCTCCACCATCTGCATGATACAGATGGACCCACTCTGTACCTCTGTACCCGCTCCCGCAGTCATCACTCTCGCACCAAAGACCGGGCAAGGGCCCGGCGACCTCACACCTCACCACAGGCTTGCCAACGCCGCAGAATCCAACCGCACGCCCCTCGTCCATCTCGCTACCCGTTGCCTTCTATCAGATCGTCACCCTACTTTTGCTGCGGTTCTTGCTCTTCAATCTGTTCCTTCGATCGGTTTGAAGAGTCTAGCCCCGAACACATTCAAAGTAAGTCACACGTTAGACTCGTTCGCGTCCGCAGAGGTGCGCGCGAGTGTATGTGCGCAAGGGAGGGAGAGAGGGGAAGAGAGACGAGGGATTCCGTCGATTGAGTGCGGCACCTTCAAGGTAAGGTTGTCAAGGAAATATCCCACAGAAGGAGAAAGAGACACAGAAACAGATTGGGAGTGAGAAAGAAAGCGAAAGTGTGTGTGGACGATGCCCAAGACCTGCATGAGGCGACGTTTGTCCCTCTGCGCGTGCGCGCTCTCGCTCTCTCTCTCTCTCTTCTTATGGTCTCCGTCTCCTGTCCCTGTCTAACTACACTAGCAAAATAGCTATGTCTCTGTCTCTCCGTGTCCCGCTCACTTGCTCGCTCGCTTGGTAGCTAAGGTATTGACGTACCTTGGCTGGTACCCGTTCTCCGTGCATACGCTACCCTGCCTTCATCGGACATCAGATACCTTGCCCCGACCACATCTCTTGCTATCCGACTTGCCGAATCAATTCTGAATAAATTTCATTTGGCACCTTGTGCCATCAAATTGCGCCAACGACTTGGTCTCATCAGATTCGAGGTATCGGCCTCTTCGATTGGCTTCTCCCACGACCAAGTCAAATTGACGACGTTGACGTTCAGAGAGCCGGCCGGCCGGGGCTAGCTGGCTCGTTGGGTCTGGGTATGGGTCGGGGTTCTACGCACACAGTACTTGGCATGGAAGTACGAGTACTTTGGCAGACACGCAGCGCAGCGTGGCACGAGGCGACTGCCTGGGCATTTCATGGCGAGGTGCGAGAAAGTCACTTTTGGCCGTCTTTTTTTCACCACACAATTGTTACCTAGCAGTACCATGTCCATCCTGTCTGTCCCTCCATCTCGCCATCTGTTTTGGCACTTTCCCTTGCAAGTTTTGACATCGCCCGCCTTTCCCAGCCAACCAGTTTTCCTTCCTGCTTTCCTGCATGCCTGCTTGATTCTCATTCCCAGTCGCGCCTGCCTTTTGAATCTGTTCGGGATATCGACAGTCTTTCCTCCTTGACTCTTATGTCACCTCATTTGCTTTACGCCTCAAACGTCGTCCGGCATCATCCAGCCAAATCAGGAAGGCATCTTGATTTGAAGAGCCATCGCGGTATCTTTCATGCTACTCATCTAGTGACAAAGAGCATAGCAGAGGAATGCAGATGCGAACCTGGGCGGAAGCGACGATGCCTTAATAGGGACTGACAGCATTGACTATTGAAGTCGCCGTGTCTCCTTTACCTTACTTGTTGCTTGCTGATTGAAGGCTGCTGCTCATGTTCGACAGGTCAACGACTCGCCTACTTCTTCCTTCGATGCCTTTCCTAGGTCCGTTGCACCCCCGGCTTGTCCAACCCTGTGGAAACGAAGGGCTCCCTACCACGTAGGGATGTGCCCACGAGATGTCGTCCATACCCCCGTCATCATCCATGTGTGTCGGTTCCATTTCCATCCCACCTCCTGGGATACTCAGTGGCTCTTGGCCGCCCACCCCAATATCAAATCAAGAGCACCTCCTGCTCTCACCGTCTGGCGCCTGCGTTCTCCCTCTTTTTCGCTTTTCCTCAAATAGACGCCTTATTCTACCGGCCCTATTTCTGCTTTCCTAGCCACTTATGTCTGTATTCGCACATCGCTCCAGGTCGGCCGATCGTCGCCCTACATTAGAAGGCTGTCTTCTCCACAAAACGGTGTCTGCATGAGGTGGTGGTCACTTCTGGCTCAACTGGACCTGTACACCAACCGGATGGGACGGTGCCTCGTTAATGACACCCATCTTCATACGTATGCTGTCTTCCCTTAGTTGGTACTCTTTTTCTTACCCCCCCATTATCCAATTTTCTTTCCCTTTCCAATCAGTCATAGCATGACTTCGGACAATAGACCGACCGTATTGATTGATCCGCTATTCCCTACTACGATTTTCGCACTGAGCTTGGTTATGTGCATCAAAGGCCTGTCAAACTTATATGCACGAAATGGGGGTAACAAATTCCGGAGGTTATCACGGCAACGCTTCCAATGCCCCCCCCGCTGTCGGTATTGAGCACCCTTCCTTTGCCACCCTCACCCTTTTCTTAATCCGAACTTCACCTCTCGGCGGATTATCCCATCGTGTGCCAGTTCGCCTGGCATGCAATCTGGGTTTCTGTCATTTACTAGTCCCGACACCGGTCGTAAACCCAGCCAAGTGAAGACACCGTTGATGCTTCTGATGGATACACTTCCACATAGTCAATATCTTCCTGATAATTTCTGTTCTGCGGAATGAACCGCCATGTATTCTTACACGTGAGTTGTGCGAATACGGCACGTTGTGGCAGATCAGCCTGGGGCCTCGACCATGTTTGTATGGGTCTCTAGCTTCTTGCGAAACCTACGCTATGAGCTATAGTCTACTAACATCGACAGGACGCTGTAAGGTTCCCATATGAAATGGCTCGCTCAAGCCACTCAACCAAGTTTCCAGTCCCTGAGAGGCAATGAGAGATAAAGAGCGATAGTTTCAACCAGCAGAGCGAGAGCTGCATCAACAGAGCAGTCAGATGCCGACCGTTGCCCGCCCAGCTTCCGAGGCAAGGCGCGCGCACCACCACACAAAGTACTTGAGGAGTACAGATGAGATCGAGGCACACTGGTTCCCGTTCTCGCAATCCCGGATTTGTTCCTAGGCGAGTGCAATATTCTGTTGACGTTTCTGGCCACCGTCCGGTTTGAAGACACATCAGCGCAAACAATACTACGATGTGTTTCAAAGTTCAAACCACGAGCCAGCTCGACCCATTCCCTCCTGGCACGGAGACTCAGCGCGCTGAGGTTTAAGGCGTCGTGGAGAGACAGGTACGGAGTGCGTACATGGTCATGTATCCCAACGGATACGTACCGCCTTGGACGTCGGAGTGGAGCCGCAAGGGACCGCTGGCAGACGACTAGAAGGTACGTATCTTTCCTCTACCATTCCAGGAGTTGCGGCACTACCTTACCTAAGACAGCTTGAACGTACCTTATCCCAACGATGATGAGAGACCCATAGGTGTCTTTTCTCATGTTCGCTCACCTCCAAGATACTTGTTTTGAAGGCTTTGCACAATTGGTGCCGGGGCCTTCAAACCAGTGTTCTCTGATGAGGGAAACAAAAGGGCAGAAATGTCTGTCGCCAGCAAAGGTACTGCAGAGTGAAGTTGGTGCTCCCACAGCTTGGGCCACGACCGCGCCGCAAGCCATCGGCGGCAGCGACCGCATCGCGCGAAACAAATGGGGGGCCAGCCTCGGCGAGCGCGACTAATGAGGTGAGGAGTTCTCCATGGTGTGCAATCGACAACGGGCGTGGACGCCCATAAGGCGTATAAGCAGCTGGCTCCAATCTGAGCCTTGATTGTACAGCCCTGGAGCCGAACGACGATTGAGCCACGTCTTTCTTCTTACGAGCCCAAGATCCATTTGCCCCTTTTGTCGCCATCGGATGTCCTTGCTCGCTCTTTCTCTTTCTGGCAATGGGGATATGCAGCCATTCTATTTGCTGGGTTTCTCAGCAATGTCCACGATATCGAATCTTACCCTTAGCTACGTGTGGTTAGCTTTGCTAAGAAACACAACCAGTTTGTCCACGAGTCAACCTAGTGCCTACGTTTCAGCATGGTGCGCAACTTTTCACGAGTGCTGTCAAGGGGACATATAACATGGAGAGGATTGGATTCGCCGAAATCATGGGGGCTACCCAGATTGCTTCTGTCGACTGGATATTATCTGAACGCAATGGCTTTCGCGATCCGTGGTGCAGAAGCCCGCCAGCGGCAGACGGGGGACGTCAGAAAAACCAGATGAGATTGACCGCATTTGTCGGTTGGTCCGGCACGCCGCACTTGAGAGGGAAAAAGGAAGGGCACCACATGCCACATGTTGCCAGGGGCCGATCGCTGACCAGCAACAAGCGCATTCCCGGCCATTTCCAATTACTCCTAATCTACCGGCCTCCCAGTCATGCGCTGCTTTGAACCCCGACTCGTTTCATCGATTGGAACCTAAGGGGAACACTGCGTATGCAACTTAGGCAGCGGAGGAGCGCGATAGTTTTATAATGAAGATTCGACATTCAATTAACTGCCAGCGGTAGCGCATCAAGGCACACGAGGCAACCGCTCTCCCGATCGGACCAATAACCATACGCCCTGCGCCGAGTCATCGACGCCCCGACTGGAATTGTCATGTTGGACCTCGAAGCTGGCTGGGCCTGTGCCGGAACTGATCCCTACGCAGCATATGTCTGCCCTCGAAGCTGGTGCTCCAAGCGTGACATTCACAAAGTATGTTCCAGCTGATGTGCGGATAGTAGACAGCCTGCTTCTGGCTGTAAGGATGCAACTGGCTGTATCGATGTGGGAAAAGGTACAAGATGAAGGCCAAGACGCGGGATAGGCCTGACCGAGGTGACAATCTTCGACGCAGTCATTGAGCTGCCAATAGAGGCAGGCTTGAGCTCATTGATATCCGTCGGGTTGACGAATAGTCTCACTCTACGTCGGCGACAGTGTTGGTCATCGAAGGAGGGGAGCCGTTCTGGCTGACCATCTTCGTCATTGGAAAACAGATGGGGTCGTGATCACTGGTGGTGGCAGGCCATGACGGAGCGTTAAGAAATGTGTGGGGCCAAAGTGGTGATCCCTGTATTGTGACAGGGTCTTGTTCCTCACCAAAGCCAGGCATTGGGGACCACCCCGATACTTTCCATTCCCTACCTTACCTTACTATGTATAATCCTTACCGTATGGTTCCAATGCTCCAATACTACTTGCCCTGGAACCTGGATCATCCTTCGCCCACGCGAATTGTTCTGCGGTGTAGTTCGGGTTCCTGATGGTTGCGGCTGGCCACCTGTCTGGTGCCTCTTACAAAGGAACCGGATCCCCTTGCCCTCAACGCACGCTGAGGGGCTATTCTGTCCCGCCCTGCCCTTTGTCTTTTCGACAGCGGGTTTATGTCTCTTGCCAATAGCTGTCGAACAGAGACTAGACTTCCATCTTCTCTCTGTCCCCCCCGATCCCATCCCGTCCGGTTTCTTCTCTTACAACTCAGACAAGCACCCCCCAGCGCCAAGCGAACTTGTTGTCCCCTCAAAATGGAAATCTCACTTGGGGCAGCCCGCAGACCCCATCGGCTCAAGGTTATCTAGTCCTGTCCCTTACTACTTAGTCGGCCCCGATTCCAACAGATTTCTGCAACAGCGATGGAAGGTCAGTGCCACCACGTCTGGTCCATGGGGTAAGGTAGTCAGCCACGTAGGTCGCCAGTGGTACTCCACCAGACGGGGTGTGTGAAGTGTGGCTCGGCCTCAAGTGGGGGCGGTCTGGCCGGTGCATAGTACGTACTCACGACCCCGTCAGCCGGCCGAATCCAGAAGCTCCCGTCGACTTCCACCTGGTGGTTAAATTTCGGGCGGCACATGAGGTACCTCGATACACACCGGCCGTCTTCCATCATGGTGCTCATGCTGAGGTAACCAACGCAATGCACCACCTCACAAGTACACATGATTTCGCGTGGTCCAGTGGAAGCGGGCCATCCCTGCTGCTGCCTTCCACACGTTCTGCAGGACGCGCTTTCCCCAATTTTTAGTAACAAGTGTTGCATCACCAGCAGGCAGTAGCCGCCTGCCGGTGCAATCCCATGCACAACAACATTCAAGTCTGATACTGGGACCCCGTTCCATTTCAATTTTCTGTTCTTCCTTTTGCAGTCTTGGCTTTTTCATCTGACTGCAAATTTGGATTTGCCCCGTTTCCATGGATTGCATCCTGACTTTTGGTACTATCTTGCTTCACAATGGCCACCAATAACGGCATATGGCACAAAACATCCGTCGAGGTTGCCGAGGAGCAAGGCCGGGCATATCACACTGTGACAACCACAATTGCTGGGCAGAAACGACCTCGTGCTGAATCAGCTCATCCTACCGCACCGAAACCGACAATCTTGCCTCGGCACACCTCGCTGGTGCAGAGAGCGTCGAGTTTACCTCCTGGCCCCCCAAAGCTTACAGCGAGCCCGATAATCTCACTGAGCCCAGCGGCTACTCAAGGTCCATCTGAATACACGCAACGAAGAGAATTCCAGTCCACGCCTTCGTCATCCTCGGATCCGTTGCTCGCTCTTGCCCATCCGTATTATGGACTTCCTCGCTCCTTGGTCCGGAACTTCTACAGCCTAGGTATCAAAATAATGTACCCATGGCAAAAAGCATGTCTCCGCGGACCGGGGCTTCTCGCTGGCGAAAGAAACCTTGTCTATAGTGCTCCGACTGGAGGCGGAAAATCTCTCGTGGCTGACGGCAAGTTCGCCCATCATTCTGGCTGACGCAAGACTGACTAGACGACAGTTTTGATGCTCAAGAGGGTGCTCGAGGAAAAGAATGCCAAAGTTCTCTTGGTTCTACCCTATGTCGCCCTCGTACAGGAAAAGGTCCGTTGGCTTCGAAACATCGTCCAGGGCGTGATGAAACCCAAAGATGACATTGACGACGAAAAACGCATATGGAGGCGGCGAGCAGACGAAGACACGATCAGGGTCATTGGGTTCTTTGGGGGGAGCAAGATTAAGCCTACTTGGTCCGACTTTGACATCGGCGTGTGCACCATAGAGAAGGTGGGAAGCGTACGCCCTACGCCTTGGATTTAGCTAACTTTGACCCGAAAGGCCAACGCACTTGTCAATACGGCGATAGATGATTGCACCATCAAGCAATTGAAGTCAGTTGTCCTCGACGAACTGCACATGATCGACGATGACCATCGCGGATATCTGATGGAGTTGATGGGCACAAAGTTGCTCACCCTGCCTCAGCCGGTGCAAATCGTCGGCATGAGCGCTACCATGTCTGTGGGTGCGATCTTGTTGTAGATTCTCCATCATAGCACATTCTAACACGACATCTTAGAACATTAGTCTCTTGGCTACATGGCTGGGAGCTCATTCGTATGAAACGCGCTATCGCCCAGTACCAATAGAGGAACATCTCGTTTACGAGGGTAATGTGTACCCAGCGACAACGACAAGTGAGCTGCTGAAGACGGCCAAGAACCTTAATGCAGCCACTCAAAAGACTGGAACAAGAGCCACAAGACGTATTGAGCCTTCCGGCCACAAGGAATTCCAAGATCCCGTCCTCAACGCTGTTGTTTCACTTGCTAGCGAGACTGCTAAGGCTGGCTACGGAGCCTTGGTCTTCGCCAGCAGTCGTTACGGCTGTGAAACAGACGCCCGTTGGATTGCCAAAGTCATGCCGACTTTAGACGAGCTTGAATCTGGCCTAGTTGAGAAGAGGATTGAAGTCATGGCCGAGTTGCGTAGTCTCGGGACGGGTATCGATCCTGTCCTGGAAGAGACGGTACCTATGGGCGTTGCATTTCACCGTAAGTCCAACCAGGAAACATTTACAAGCCTAGCAGCTAACACAATCATATTCAGATGTTAGTTTACATTACATGTCGCGTCATCGAATCAGTGGCTAAACGTTGCAGGCTGGCCTTACCACTGAAGAACGAGACATAATCGCCAATGCATACGATGCCGGGACACTCAAGGTGTGTGTAGCGACATGCAGCTTAGCAGCTGGCATAAACTTGTAAGTCTAGTGGTGTGTCACAACCGCGGGTAGATTTGCTGACAGATTTGAGACCGGCACGACGAGTAATTCTTCACAATGCTCGTATGGGAAGAGATTTTGTTGGGCCATCGATGCTCAGACAGATGCGTGGACGTGCCGGTCGCAAGGGAAAAGACGAAGTCGGAGAAACCTACCTATGCTGCCGGAAGGATGATCTTGAGCAGGTTGTCGACTTAATGCACGCCGAGATGCCACACATCACAAGCGGTTTGATGACGGACAAGAAGCGGATCCAAAGGTCAGGGTTTCGGCATAGATGCACAGTAGCATTCATTCTGCTAACAACCGTGCTAATATACAGAGCACTTTTAGAAGTCATTGCCATACGATTAGCAACGAGCCGAGATGCGCTGGACGAATATATAACAAAGACTTTGTTGAGCCACTTTGGGCCCCTGGAGTCCCTCCAAGACTGCGTAGAGGTCAGCCTCAGAAATCTGACGAACATGGGCTTTGTGTCCGTGGACGACTGCGAAAACTACCAGCCGACAAAACTTGGGAGGGCCATTGTAGCCTCTGCATTGGACCCTGACGATGGTGTCTTCATCCACAAGGAACTGGAAAGGGCGCTTCAAGCATTTGTTATGGATGGAGAGATGCACATCCTTTACACTTTTACACCTGTCCAGGACTCTGGCACCAGCATCAACTGGCAAGTTTTCAGGAACGAGATGGATAATATGGATGAAAGTGGACACAGAGTTCTCGGTTTCCTTGGGCTCAAGCGTGCTGTGATCAACCGGCTGTAGGTACCCCTGGCCCCTTTTTCCGATGTCGCTAACCGTGATCAGGGCGCAGGGTAGTGCACTTAAAGAAACGACTGCCGAGGAAAAAGAGATAGTTCGTGTACACCGTCGGTTTTACATGGCCTTTCAATTACGAGACCTGTGTAACGAGATGCCCATCCACGTTGTGGCGCGAAAGTACGATGTCCCGCGAGGTGCTGTTCAAACGCTATCCCAATCTTGCAATGGGTTTGCGGCTGGGATGATCAAATTTTGCGAATACATGGATTGGGGGTAAGTCGAACTACTTGCCGCACAGGTAGTAGATCAATCACTAATCGCATCGGCCAGCGTTATGTCCGCTGCATTAGATCACTTTTCAGACCGTTTAAGGGCTGGGGCAAAAGCCGACTTGTTGGCCTTGGCAAAGATTACTTTTGTGAAGAGCCGGACAGCGTGAGTTGCGCGACCGGGCAACGGATCGGTATTTTGTCTAACTTTGTGGAACAGTAGAGTCTTTTGGGAGAACGGGTTTCGCAGCATTGCGGCCATCGCAAATGCTGATCCCAATGAGCTTCTGCCAATTCTAATGCAGGTAAGCAGGCGACGGAGCTCAAGATTGATAACAAACTCATTATTTGACAGGCTCAACCAAGTAAACTGCGTATCAAGGAGCAGGAAAGTATCAAATACGAAGAAAAACTCATGGCTAAGGCCAGGGTCATCTCGGACTCGGCCAACCGACTGTGGCGTAAGTCAAACCGAGAGACATATCGGCGCCGTTGGTGGAATGTGAGTCGGGCTGGCACAGCAGCTGACTATGCGTGCGTACAGGTATTCAAATGCAACAGGAAGTCTACGAGGAAGAATGACCAACATGTCGGAGGTCGTTGACAACGGTTGGAGCGGACGACAGCACGCTCTTTACTCGCAGCTTGGTAGCACGGCGGCCGTTGCGAAGCTAGTACATCGTACCCGGGCAGCTGGCTATGGTGCTCATAGGCTCTTTTTACTACCTCCCGCAATAGATGCGCATGCATGCCGCCGCACATCCGCCAATAATTGGTGACGAGGATGCTCAACCTGCATTGCGTCGGATGGTAGCCCCTCCCACCGCATTCGCAGGGCCGGATATTAACGCGACAAGTGCGTGTGATGGAGGTCCGCTCCCACCGCTACTCTGGGCTCCCGTGGCTTCTCAGTGGTCTGACTAGCCGCGATTTTGGAACAAAGCCGTAGGCCGACAGCAACCAACACGAAAAAAAGGTGCAACGGTGCAAGACAACCAAACGCAACTCGGGCTCATCACATGGCACCCGCAGTACGGTGCTGCATTTGCCTGCGTCCCGTTCCGGAGCTGCGCATAGGTCCAGGCAGGCATCCACACCACGACTGACCTAGGTCCTAGACACCCACGGCGACGGAGTGCATGGAAAGCAGACCGAGGTGGGTGGCATTCCCGGGAATGTTCGCTAGAGAAATAGAGCCACAACCGATCGAGGAATACCTAGGAATGGCAAACCCAGCGCCAATCCTGGGTGATACCTGACATGCAATCGATTCTTCTATGCGACAACACAACGGCTCATGCGCGAGTTACACAGCAGGGGAGACGGGAAAAGCAAAGAATCTGACTCTGTCCCGAAAGGGTCTTGTCCGGCGGGCCTCTAGTGACCGAGATGCGCCTCGCCATAGGTAGTTGGTGGTCGCGCCCAGAAGGCTCGCGACCAACAAAGGTCTGACAGCCACCGCCCACCGAGCTACCCACCCTCATCCGTCTTGTTCGACTTTTGCATATAGCTGTGGGTGTGGCTGCCTGACCTCGGTCTGGTACAAGTCTAAGCTATATGAAGCGGTCGTTCCTTGTCTCCGAAATGCGCTCATGTCCTTCTCTCTTCTTCTTGTTTTCGTTTTCTTGCGGTTCTTTGACTCGACTTGTCCATTACCTCTTCTGATCACCTGTTGCAGCTCACCAAAAAATATCGTGAGGTCCAACCTCGCAACAGTTCCTACAGAGTCGAACTGATTCAGCGTCGTACACGTACACTGACTGCATTGCGAAATGTCCACTCGAAGCCATGCCCACAGTGCTGGCGGGAGCAGTGCTGATGCAGATGGTGCCGTTCGAACTCTGGGCGATGTTATGAGAGCAGGACCGACCGATTTCCCTGACGTTGTTGTCATCGATCAGACACACGAAGAAAACAAACGGATAGATGATCTTAACCCGAGGGAAGATTTGTGGCTCAGTTCAGCAGACGGTCGATACAGTTCGACCATCGTCCCCTTGCGAGTTGGACGAGCGCCGAATCAAGAGATTTTCCATGTACACAGGGACATTTTGCTAGCGACGGAATATTTCCGAAAAGCTCTTTGCGGAGATTTCAGAGAAGCTGAGGCGCAATCCATGGACTTTCCAGAAGAGGATCCGGCCATTTTCCACTTTCTCGTCGCCTTCCTCTACCAAAGAAGCTTTGTTCCTATCAAGCCAGCAGCATCAGCACTGGCCGTCCAGGCATCAGAACGAGGGAAAGCACAAGACTCTGGCTACCGAAGCGAGTCGGAATCGGAGGTGTCATCGTCGGAGGCCAGTGACGCCAGTGCCAGAAGTCGAATCCGGGCGCAGCGGCGGCAACGGCGGCGGGAGCGGCAATGGGACCGCATGAACCGGAAACAGCCAGGCGCACACCGCCCAGATTGCAGATGTCCGCGCTGCACCACAACCATCGGACCGCCATGCTGGAACTGTGGCGTTGGTCGCGCGAGGCCGATTCCGGGCCACCTTCCGCCGCACATTATCAATCCTATGCCACCAGTGCGGCCCATAGGCTTACAGCCACACAGCCGACGCCGTAGCCGACAGCAAGTTATCACACCGCCAGAGTCCACGCCCTCGGTAGGTTTGCCAGTCTCTGCCAACGACGAGTATGCGGACGGTGACCGTATACGAGGCGAAGACATGCGGACTTTCCTGCTCACATACGAGCTAAGTCTGGAGGTGTACATTGTCGCCAATAAATTCCTCATGGATGACTTCAAAACTGCGATTCAGCGTCACTGCATTGACATGCTCGAATCCGCCGGGCCTGATGCAGCGCAGTCGGTTGTGTTGCAGCTTTGTTCGAAGCTCTACGCCGGCGTTCCTGAATCTGACCCATTGTTGAGAATGATCTTTGCGCGCGTTGGCTTCTTGCAGCCTCTGCTCTGGCAACGAGCGCCGCAGTTTACGTCGGAATTTCTGATTGGGCATCCAGAAGTTGCGGCTCTTATGCTCCGCGAGACAGCGATTCGAAGAGAGGAGGATCTAGGCAGTAGGGCGCTGCCGTCCATGGAACGGGCGACGCACCCTCACGTCATGCCTATGTGGCCGGTTGCGCCGCCCATGCATCCTCATATGCGGCCTCCGCCGCCTCCGCCGCCGCATCATTGGCATCCAGGGCCGTTTGGTGTTTAAGTGGTCAGGGTAAGGCACGGCTTTTCTTTAAGGGAGTCTGCCCTAGAGAGATTGTCTGTCATAGTTGTTTTATTCAACAAAGAGGAGGAAATGAACATGGCGGCACATGGAGGCAGGGAAACGTCGTCGATATGACTAGGTATTAGGCGTTTGTATCCGTATGTTGTTGGCAAAAGGAGGAAAGCGAAGACATTGCTTGGTACATGGGTGGTCAAGTGGTCAAGGCGAAAGAAACTCTGTTCGATGGAGCCCCATGTTCGGGAGCCTTTGTCCCACGGCGACGGGTCCCTCATTGTTGAGAGAAAATTTACCCCATCATTTGGATGAAAGCGAGGAGAGAAACTACTGAAATAAAACACAGGCGCGTCCCATTTATCCGATCGAACCAAAATCCATGTAGGCCTTTGGCCCATGTGACCTTTTTCCATGCCAGCAGCCCAGTTCGGCGCGCTGCGCTGCGTTGCGTTCGGGACCGAGGCGGCAGGGTAAAGTGATCGGTCAATTGTGGTTGACAGAATAAGGTAGGTTTTGTTGCATCATGAAATTAGAACAGACTCTAGCCGTCGCTTCCGCGCCGCCCCGCGAGTGTCAAATTAGTCAGTAGAAGCGGAGGGTAAGAGAGTCATTGATGCCATTTGATCTACACAAGTAGAAAGAAAAGTAAATGGTTGCGGCGGAGAAATTGCATCGTCGAATCTGCCATCCATACAAATACTTTCGGGGCATGATTGAGCAGAAATACCGAGCGGTGCGAGCCCAGCACCCCGAACGAACCCCAACCCACCCCCGTCACCCCAGCTTTTTATTTTCTCGAAAGTCGCTGATTCGGATTCTGGGGGGGAGAACACTGTTCACAGGCTTTCCAGCGCTGCTCGAAGCTCCGCAGCTCCCGGGGGGAGCCACTTGAAAAACAACTTTATCAAGAGGGGAAACCTTGTCCGCGCAAGCTGGGCGAGCGAGAGACCCCACCATCGGCGCTAGCTACCCCACACACGACCTGGACCGACCCAGGCACAAGCAAAGCACAATGACAGCTTCTACATTCTTTCTGCTTCTTGGTTTGTTCGCGATGCTTTCGTCCGGAACAAGCCCCGAATTGGTGCTCTGCTCCCGGGCGGCGGATGTATGGTGGAAATGTGAACTAGTGTAGATTAGACAAGGTCGATTACATTATTACCTGCATCCATTGGCTGAACCCCCCTACTCCTTCTCAGTCGCCCCATGGGGGCGGCCATCGGTTGCAACGGGGGGCGAACTGACTCTACATGGGTATAATAATCGTCTTCCAGCCACCATCGTCAGTAAGAGTCCATCCAGTTCGTTTCCGGCGTTGCTGCTGAAGCCTCGTGATAGCCGAGTCGAGTCGAGTCCGCCGCCTCATCGAAGTTAACTCTTCCCTTCCCCCTTTGAAAACCGCCCCCCCTTCGCCGAAAGGAAGATCACCCCCCCTCTCCCCGACGATCGTGGACCGCAATGGCGCCCATCTCAGGAACCGTAGCGACGGTGATCACGGCGTTGACGGCGGCCTTTAGGACCTCCGGCCCCGCTCTGCAGGCGCAGGCGGAGCAGAATCACCTCCTGGCCGAGCTCGACTACGGCAACTTCCAGGGCGCCTACTCGGACCAGTATAACATCTCGTACTGGCAGAAGATTCCCTACGCGGCGCCTCCCGTGGGGGAGAACCGGTTCCGGGGTCCGCAGCCCCCCGCGGCGGTCGACGGTGTTGTGTATGACTCTAGCCAGCCGTTTGATATGTGCCCTCAGCGGACGGTATGTTGTTCTTTACTCTCTTCATCTCGTATGGTTTCATGGCTGTTGAGTGAGGGTTAAGATAACAAAGAAAAAGAAGTTGGGCTGACTGAATCCTGGGCGCATTTGTAGGTCAACGGCTCCGAAGATTGTCTGTACCTCGGCCTCTACTCCCGGCCCTGGACGCAAGACCAACCGCTGAAGCCCGTCGTTGTCACCTTTTATGGCGGCGGCTTCATCCAGGGCTCGGCCTACTTCAGCATCCCGCCCTCGGCTTATCCGATCCTCAACGTCTCGAGCTCGTCCGACATGATGTTCATTTACCCAAACTACCGCACAAACGCCTTTGGCCTCCTCCCTGGGAAGCAGATCGCCGCTGACCCCAAGTCTGACCTGAACCCGGGCCTGCTGGACCAGGAGGCCGTGCTCAAGTGGACAAAAAAGTACGTCAAGCAGTTCGGCGGCGACCCGGACGACGTGACCATCTGGGGCCAGTCTGCAGGCGGCGGCAGCGTGCTGGCGCAGGCCCTCGGCCGCGGAGGGGAGCAGAAGCTCTTCCGCAAGGCCATGGCCAGCAGCCCGTTCTGGCCAAAGACGTACGCCTACGACAGCCCCGAGGCGCAGGCCCTCTATGACGAGCTCGCGTCTCGCACGGGGTGCGCCGGCGTC